GCTCATAATGCAAAAGAAAAGCAGGCTCGTCTCTGGTCGCAATGCCAGGCTAGCTAACACTTCAGTCTTTGGTGAAGCCACTGTTCCACTCAACTCCAATGTTCCAAACCATAACCCTGGGAGACACAAAAGTGAGAGTACAGGCCACTTCCACACTCAGAGGCCATACCTACCCTCACCCCAACCAGGCTTTACATGAGCTCCACTTAATTTCCAGTGAACCCATGTAAGTTCTTTTGAAGGCAGGGACAGCATCTGAATGCTCCTTCCACTAAGAACAGTGCTTTGTAAACAGCAACATTTTAAACTGTACGTTGCTAAATTTTTTTTAAAAAGTGAGAAGTCATCAGAGACCCATTCATGACTACTACTTGTAATTAGCCACGTTTTCTAAACCTAATTTAGGCTCCCCTCCCAGCACAGTTTGATTCACAGTCTTCAAGGTCTTGGTTGGCTTGGCCCCAGTAAATCATTACCAGGGATAATTCTGTATGATAGGCCTTTTCTGGAGAGTTCTCTAATGAAAGAATCTGATTGTGTTCAAGGAGTTGATTCTGACAACTTGACTCTCAGGCAAATATTCTACTGAAACCAATTTAATTACACTTGCAATAAAGCTGTGGAAAACTTCTCAGTTTGAATTTAGATTTAAAATGTCTACTCTACAACAGTTTTTGTGGCTTTAATTAATTCATCAAAATAGTATTTATGAAGAAAAGAAACATTACAGAATATTTGTAAGAGAAAATGAAGTTCCTCAGTTTTGATTTCAGATTGTTATAAATTTTTCAAACCATTAATTTTTTTATTAATAACTAGATAATTATCAATGCCTACTGGGTACCTACATCACGTAGGAGAGAAAATAAAAGAATTGCTGTTCTTAGAGAAGTTTACCACAGGCCACTATCAAAGGCAAAACATGGTATGATGAACTTGCTCTACTGAGTGGATTCAGCTTATAGTTTACCAGTAGCATTAATAGGAGACCATCAAACAGGTATTCTGCAGCACTGTGTGATGGGGACTAGGCTCAGACATTTGTTTTTCAACCAATCTGTAGAACTTGCTGCAGTGTTTCTATAAAGCTACCCAATGTTCTCATACTCTACTTTTATACAGGAAACAATATCAAATTATTTTTATTCTTCCTTCTACTTCTAGGAGTTGGTCTCATTTCCCACTGCAGTAAGTCCTTTGT